GGGTCTCAGCCGAGGACTGCCTCAGCTACCGCCGAGCAGTTAGGTTTATCGCCTCGGCGTGTCCCGGGTGCTCGAGTAGTGTTTTTTTTTTTTTTTTTTGGTCAACTAGGGAATATTTCGCTAAAGAGAAGCGTTTCCAATGCGTCGAGTTTCTCTCTTATCAGCAAAAACTTTCTGGATGTGTCATTTCAGCTAAAATTCTTTGTGATGGCTAAGCCACGTTAATGCTTCCTCTCTGTCATGCTTAAGACTCCATTGTCAAGCCTGGTGGGGAATCTCTTCCCATTGAATTAAATGCCAGCGTCTAGGTCTAGCATGAATTCCCACTGCATGGCTGCGTTGGGTCTTTTATCACTCGCATCACTTCAGCGGTCAGCAGAGTTCATCACGCTGTCTGACAAAGAATAAAAAGAATTGTGGTCCACAATGCTGTAGTGAAAAGTCTGAAAATATAATTTGGGAATGAGGAGGAGGGGCGAGGTGCGTTTTATGAAGCCAGTGGACTTCAGTATTGATTACTACAAACAGTTTCTTAGAGAAGCAGCACGTACTGATTTGATAATACTGGACGTGGGGATGAAGTGGAGGCCATTCCGTGGGATCTGAATTTCTTTTAAGTGCCTGTGGGTAACATAAAAAAAAAAAATTATCACAGGTTTTTGAACTTTATTTAAAAACATGACAACTGCTAGCATATGATTCATTAGATAAACCAAAGCTGAAGTAGCAGAAAACTATGTCATAATGCCTGTGAAATGAAATATATTTTTAGCAAGTAAGTCTAAAACTTAGATTGGAAGGACTAGCATATTCTGTTTAAAAAATTTGCTTGGAACTAAGTTGGAAATTATTAAGTGTTCATAGATTCATGTGCTGTTTAGTCAACCAAAATAAGGAATCTTTGTTGTCTTGATAGAATACCAAGCTTTTCAAGTCCATTAGTCTTGTACACAAATACAATTTTTACGTAAATACCCTGAATCTGAGATTGGTTTCTGCATGTTCCTCAGGCGTATTGGAAGTATTGTCATGGCTTAGGATCGTTCAGATTGGAAGGGACCACAGGAGGTCTCTAGTCCAATCTGTTGATGAAAGCAGAGTCAGCACTGAGGTCAAACCAGGTTGTTCAGGGCTTTATACAGTCTGGTCCTGAAAACCTCCAAAGATAGAGACTGCACAATCTCCCTGGGCAACCTGTTTCACTGCTTGACTGTCTGCTCTGTGAGAGAGTTTCTGCTTATATCCAGTCTGAACCTTCACTTTATGCTTGTTCTTTCATTCTCCCCCCGTGCACTGCTGTAAAGAGCCCAGCTTCATCTAATGTTCTTGTACCTAGAAACACAAATCTATCTCTCTACAGTGTAGGTAGATTGATTTTTTTTTTTTTAAACTACTTTAAAATTAGCCTGTTTCTCGAAATAGGACTTTCTTAGGACAAAAGGAAGTATCTTTACCCTTTAGAATATCTACTTACTAAAATCGTACAGGACTGTTCTTACAATGTTTGACCTTAAATGTCTGCATAGTTCAAGCTTTTTTTTTTTTTTTTTAAGTATGCTTATTGTTGGAAAGCAATATGTAATGCTTTAGGGATTCACATAACTGATGCAAAACTGAATAGCAAGTTTTCATTCTTGTCCAGTGAACAACAGTAAGAATGAGAAATAGATGGAATGGGAACTGAAGGAAATGGATTGTTTCTGATAGGTCCGTTCTTTGAATTTAGGATGAGGGGTGTGTGTGAGAGACTCGACTTGAGTTGGAGATGTGAAGTCACTTTTTTTTTTTTTTTTTGGAGAGGGGGTGGGCTAAAAAAGGTGGCAAATTGATCACCTCAAAAAAACTTATTTTTATTTAAATATTTATGTATATATATCCATGTATGTGCTAGTATTCTCATAACTGATTCTGACCAGCTTGCTGAAATCTGGTTTGTTCATTTCATCTCTTATTAACAATTACTGGAATGTTATCCATTGACTATAAACCAAACCCCATATCTCACTTATTTGTATCTTTGTCTTTAGATGGAAATAATTGCTTCTATTTGCTTTGTTTTTGTTGAATTTATGCTTCCTGTATGTATGTATGTATGTCCCTGCTTTTGGAGAGGGTGAGTACATGCATTCTGAAAGACAGTAATACCGTGTAATAAATTTGTGCCTACAAACATGGTAGCTGCTGTTGAGCAGCTTTAGTTTCTGATTTAGGAACCTGTCTAGAAGAGTGCCATGAGAACATTGCAGTATCCAGGATATGGGGTTAGGGTCTAGCCAAGGCTTATGGTAAGATGGGTGGAGCCAGCAGAGGAGTCCACCACCAGCACAAGGGGAAGGTTCTGCTTTTGGCCATGTGTTCTTCTAGCCCACCTTGCACCAGTGCCCTGGTGCTCTTCAGCCTCCTCTGAATCTAGTTTACTGAATCGACAGAATTATCCCATTGAAAAACTAGATAGCATGCTACCGTTTCTACTGGGTTAAAATAGCTCAGAAAGGATTTTGTGATTATTAGAATTCGCATGAGAGAAGCTACCTGCGACAGTGATTCAGCTGTCTGTGAAAGCACAGCTTCAGCTCTACACCGGACCTGTGTTCAGGGAATCTTCTTTTTTTCTGTACTTCTCTTTAGATTATACTTGTAAGTAATAATAACGCAATATAAATAAATAAATTCATTGAAACGGTTGATTTATGTAGACTCTTCGTTCTGAGCCTAAACCTCATTTAATTTTTCAAACTCTGCATTAAATACAAGCGTTCAGAGTCATTAATTGTGATGGTATATTAGCATCTAGAGAGAGTATGAAGTGAGAAGTGACTCCAGGAATGAAGCTTACTAGGAAATACATAAAGAAAGGGGAAGAACATGATGTCTATAAACATGTGTGATGAAGAAACTGTACTTCATACAAAAATAGCATCATGTCAGTGTGTCGTAAGGTTGACTGTAAGGAACTTGCTGGAGTGCTTAATAAGAGCTGGTCCAAAGCAAAGTAAGCAGACAGGGAACTGAAGGAAATGACCCTGGACAGTGTGTAGTAGGTTTACGCATTGAGTTCAGGATGGTGGAGTGAATGTTTGGAAAGGGTTGGGTAATTAATCTTAAGGATAAATTTGTCTATACAAAATAATTCTTTTAGAATTAATAGGTAGAGGATTCTTTCTGAATATTTGGGTGGTTGCTTTTTAGCATGTAATTCTCCTGCTCTTACCTACATAGACTGAGTATGTTCAAAATAATAATTTCTATTCTCTGAAATTATTTAAAGATACTCATGTATACTGTATTTCTGATGATAAAAGTTATCTTGTGGTGGGCTCAATCTAATTTCTAACTAGTGATCTAACTAAAAAAACTATAGTGTATACGAAGTGCATACCGGAAGCGCGTAAGACTATTTAACTACACTTTTCATGAAACCTTACTTTTTATTAGTAGGAGTTCCCAACAGGGGAGATGAAACGGTCTCTTTCTGACAAAGATACTTTAAGAAAAGTGTTAGAAAATCTGTGAAGTAAGAAGTAGGCAATAGAGTACGTAACTGAAACTTAAGTAGGAGTTTTAAAAGGAAAAGTACTTATTCAAAATATGTAATTAAGTTGTGTAAGTGCCTGCTGTATAGCATTGTAAAGGCCAAAAATATGAATTGGTTCAAAAAAAAAGACCTGAACAAATTTGTGGACTATAGATTTGTCAATTGTTATTACCTATTGGTCATAGTTCAGTCTCGGGCCTCGAAAGTTCTCAATACTTTGATGCACTAAAAGCTGGGTTGGATCCCCAGAGGAGTGTGTGTTCTGTATGTGTTGTATTAGTTAGCTCACCTCCTAAGAGGCTAATAGTAATATTGGAATAATCCACATATGGCAGGTCTTGCTATGTAACTAAGACTTTGTTCATGTTTTTAAAATGGGTTAGAAAATTTTATTTTGTTAGGTGTAAATGTTTTTGCAAATCTATTTTCTATTAACTGCATTGATACTGAGGTTAGGCTGTTTAAAAAGAAAAGGTACTTTATATTAATGCTTAAAACATGCTTTTTAGTAATTGTTTTCAATAACTTGCATCCTTTTTTTATGTAGGAGACATATGAAAATATTCCCGGTCAATCTAAGATCACGTTCCTCCTACAAGCAATCAGGAATACTGCTGCTGCTGAGGAGGTATGTCTCAGGCATCTTGTAATTCTGCAGACTTTCAAGGAAACTTGGAGGAAGGGGGAAGAAGTTAGTGCTCATCGTTTTGGGAGAAATGGATGAATTGGGCATTAAGTGTATCATCTTAATTTACTGTATGCTAGTAGAGGGGCCAGTTATCTACTTTTTTGCATATCAAGTTCACTTGAGCAGACTTTTTGTTGTGGGATATTTAGTTTCAAAAGCGATCTTTCATAAGTGACTGGTTAGACCTGCATGGTTTTCCAGTTGTATACTTTGTTTAATGAATGGATTCTTTCCTCAAAATGTGTAATTAGTGCATGAGTGTTATGTGATGTTCCTTGAAGTTACAGTTAGGAAATGCCTTCCATTTTGAGGTCCTGTGCCTAAATGTTTTAAACTTTGCTCATGTATTATCTGAAATGTCTTGTGATTTTTAAATCAGAAGTAAAGTTTTTGAAAGCTTGATACATTTTAATCTAATTACTTCCAGGGTGACTATAGGGACTGGGGAGACGTAGGCCTTGTTTTACGTGTTTTATTCAAATGTTTTTTATTTTGTCTTATTTGTGGGAGGGTACGTTCATCAGATCAGCTAGCGCTGTTGTAGATTGAATGGATAGCAGTCCCAGCACTATGTAGAAATTTTCTGTTGCAGTATGGAAACCATGCCTTTTAGGTGTTCCTCAATTGATGTAAAGGCTTGCATGCTTTAGTGATTCAAATTCAATATTGTTTTAGATTCACTTGGATTTTCAGGTTGAAGAACTCTAAAGTTTGTGATGTTTTGAAAGCTTAATAGTCAAAGGTTTTTACTTTTCAAATCTAGAGTATTACTGAGCAACAGAAGGATGTCACATTTAGAATTTTTGAAGAATATCATAAGGAGAGAATAACAGCATTACTTCTCTCTGGATAGATTGCGTTCACATTAGAGGTAGACACTATCTGTGCTTTTTAATGCTTAGTAAGTATCAGCTTAATATTTATGCTTATCTACCTACAGAACCATGTTCTTCTGACAGAATCCTTCAACACTATACTAGTAACTGGTTACATAAGAGCTGAGGGTTAGTCTTCCCTCCTACTGCTCTGGAATGTTTCTAATGATAAAAAGCTGTAGACAGTCTCTTAAATTTAAATTTAGCCCCCCGAAAAATCTTTTGGTGCCCCTTTTTCTTCAGAAGGTAATATTGTGCCCTTAGAAGTCATGCTTGCATGCATATGCTTCTGTTTTGTTTTGAACGCGTTTCATAAATCTGAGCTGACAATGACAAAGTCATCCTTATGTTCTCCATGCTTTTATTGTTTTTTTTTTTTTAACTGTCTTTACACCAGTAAGGCAAATAGCGCAGAATCTGAATTTTTTCAGAACCTTTCTGATGACTCGAACTGTGATTTGCTCAGTTGCACAGAAACTTCTCTCACCTGTACAAGTTAAGTTACTCTTTCAGAAGTTGTCGAAGATTAACATTTGTACAATGCTTTGCCAATTTAACTCCACCAGTAGGTGATTCAAAGAAAGGCTTAAATGGTAGCTGACAACTTAAGTAGATGTTAGGTGCTGAACTCCCCCTCCCCCCCCCAAAAAAAAAAAGTCCTAATTAAAAAAGATCCGCAGACATCCTCTCTTTGCCAAAAATTCAGCAAATACCCAGTGGCCCAGTTGTGGAGACATTAGCAAGCTTGATCTAAACATTTCTTATAAATGTACAGGGAAGCATTCTGTGCGTGCTTAGAAGGATTCTGGTCTGAACAGCTAGGCACTTAATTTCTGAATATGTTTTGTATACATCCAAGAGTTGGGCAGAACGGTGCGTACATCACCAGTGGGCCTGGCTTTGGGCCTGACATATGTCCTCTGAGCACATCTAATGCACTGCTACCACTGAATTCAGGCTGCAGGAAGAGGTCTTAGAGCTGCCTGCTACTTAAGGATCACTTGCCCAGGTTTTGGGAGAATGGGGTTCAAAGCCCTGTTCAGCCTGAAGCCTACGTATTCCTTTGAAGGAACTGCATTACAGACTAGGCTGAAGAAAATATTTCATCCTGTTTCCTGGAACTGTGCTGCTATATAGTAGAGAATACAAGATTTGTAGGACTAATTGGACAGCAGTTGAGAGGAATCCTGACTGCAGTGCAGGAATTTTAGCATTTAAATTGAGAAACAGGGATTCAAGTCCTGCTGCCAGGACTACTTGCGTTTGATGCTAAAGGGTCATCAAGTCAGAAAATAACTGACTCTCTCAAAAACTAGCTGTATAACTTAGGTTTTCTCATAACCACTTGACTAAACTGTCGAAATAATCACCTCTTCCCTCTATTTTGGCTTCATACTTTCCTGATAGAAGAGTGACACAGTTCCTAGAGAAGTGGAGGGAAGCGCCCATCTGAGCAGTTAGAACACTTCTCTGCCAGATGAGATGCGAGTTTGTACATCTCGGGCTAAGGAGGGATTTGAACCCAGGTCTCCCACCTTCTGAGCAAGTACTTTGTTACGTAATTAGGACTCTACGTCTTCCTCTGTAACTACATTTTAAAGAGTTAGACAGAAAGGTGATGCATATTCAAGGTTTATTTGATGGTGTTTATTTTCAGGATAGGTTTGGGGCTCAATCCTAATGGCTTAAAGGCTGTTCCTTTGCAGTTCTGCTTAACTGCCTAAATCTTAGAGAGGAACGGAAGTTCTGCATATTCTTCTCTTTTGTTTTTTTCTTTTTTCTTTTTTAATTTTGTTGTTGTTGTTTTGTTTTCTTGCTAGTTAACTTTAGAATGACAATTTTCCATTGTGCCCTAATTTACAGTTGAATAATTTCAAGCACTATGAAATATAACAAACTCTGGATCAAACTGGATTTCTGTCCTTGCAACCACTTAGAGTTCCTATGACCTTTCTCCTCTCCTTATCACACCACGTGGTTACATTTTTTTTTTTGTCTGAAAACTACTGCTCTGCTCTTACAGCTCCCCATTCAGTGTTTGGAGGGGAACTGATGCACCTCCCTTTGTGTTGTATGGTGGTGACCTTAGGCACTGTGTGCTTTGAATTCCATGTGGGTCTGGGTCCTCAAATGATGTTGGGCAGGTCCATCTTTAGACCAGGTCCTAAATATTGATCATTTCCATCCATGTGCGTTTTCCTTCTCAAGGGCTTAAAAGGAACAGTAAAATGAAAGTAAAAATCCCGGGGACAGTGCTGCACAAAATAGGATGTGGGTTTTTGTTTTTTAATAAAAAGTTTAGGTAATCCTTATGTTTCCCAACACTTTGAATGTCAATGTAGAACATAGGTATCCCAGATCTCTGTCCATAATTATTCTGCTTCCATGCTCAACAAGTTGCTTTGCTTCTTTTGCCTTCATTCTACAATTGGTTAAAATCTTAGAACATCTTTGTTAAAGTACTTTAAATTCTATTAATGGAAAGCAATGCATTTAAAAATTGAGTATTTTATGTTAATACCTTTGACATTCCCATTGTTATAATGTGCACAGCTTGGTAATTTAGATAAGCAGAAGAATCCAATTCCAGGAGAGAATTCTGCTCTTTCCTTCATTGGTAGATAGAGATTCTCCTTTTGAGGTGTGCAGTTTAGTATATTGTTTCTATTCTTATTGAAAACTATAGCTGATAAGTTGCTGGATTTTAAAATACTTGTCTGGGTTCATATCTTGTAATACTTTATATAAAAAGGAGCCTTTGGTGTACATGAAAAACACTTACTTCCTTAAATCAGAAGAAGCTGATTCCCAGAGTGGTCATTAACTCAGCCATATTCATCATAATTAATTTGACAATAGTAATTTTCATCTACAGATAGATATTTGCTGAGGCAAATCTGCCGTTTATGATCCAAAGTCAGTTGCTGCTTTGACTCCTTTGGATATTTGAATTTGCTTTAGGAGGTTTTGTAAATTTTTTCCAACCTAGCAATAATGACCAGGAACCAATTCATTTAGTCCAGATCTTGAGTTCTTCTGTATGTCCTGCTGCTTGTGTTTTACTTTGCAATCAGTCTATATTTGTCCGTTTTCTAATATTTTAAACTGAATTCTAGAGAGGTGGAAATTGTTATCTTTGAGAGTACATGTTTTACAAAAATGAGCTCTACTCCCTATCTAGCCACCTGTTAGTATTCCAGTAAAGGAACAAATATAATGTGAGCTCAGTAATTATCAGGAATCAGAGAATATGCTCAGAAATATTATGATGCCCTGAGTATGGAAAAACATTGAATTGGAGCTTGTGCCTTTTTTTTAATCCCAGCAGATTCACTCCTCAGCCCAGGCTTCCGCTATATAAATTCACCCTACTGATGTGTAGAATTTAATCTTTAACAGTTTTGGTGTTTCTAGGGAGGAGAAAAGCAGAAGTATTGTTATATTGTAGTAGTACTGTTAAATGATTTTGGATGAGCTGTTAGTGGGATTCCCAGCAGTAGCGGGAAATCAATCTTAACCGTGTTAACTCTTGTTCCCTAGTTGAACTATTGCTGGAGAACCCTGTCTTACGACGGGAGCTGCAGCATAGATAGATGCTGTGACCCTCTGTTCATCTTCTGACCATCTCAGTTCTTCTAAACCTATATGTGTGGTGGCTTCAGTCTGCACTGGAGCTGATGATGAGGAGAGGAGATGAGGAAGGATGTAGTGTAAAGTCCAAGTCTAATGCTAATGTAGAGACACTTTGTGTGCAGTACCCTTATAGCTATATTGAAGACAGATAGGTGGATTGGATAAAAGCACAATGAGTCTAGAGACTGCAGAACAGCAAGAATAGTATCTTGGATGATGTTTTACCAATGCCTAATTTTTACAGGGCACTTCTGAAGATGTGGCATTGCTGCAATGTCAGGATCTGTTGTCTTTAGGTTATACTGTAGTGGTATAGTTGAGGGAGGCCTTTTGGAAATCAGATGGCATTTGTTCTGCTGCTCATTGAACAACCTATTTTCTCAAGTTATTCAGTGTGCTTGATGTCTCTTTGCATTCACTGCAGAACTTGTTTGTATTCATTTTGAGTTACTGAGCTGCGCTTTTTGCTTCTAGGGCTTGTATAATTATAAATAAATAAAAATAAGTCATGTTCTCATAGAATTGCTGCGTGCAAGCAGAGATTATAGAAGACTAGTATTTGAGGTTCCTATGCCCAACTTAAACTTAAAGGAAAAATGCTTCATCATATGTCTCCAGAAGGCTGAAAGTTGTGTGTGTGGTGGTGGTGTTGTCTTTATTTGTTTTCTAAATTCACAGTACAGTGTTTTTTTTTTTTTTCCCCCCTAAAATCTTAACTCTAGAATTTGGAACAGAGAGATTAAATCTGGTTGTCTGAGAACGGTTTACTGTTTAATTGTTTGGCAAAATTTTCTCATTAAGTCACTTGTTAATCCAAAAAAATTGTTTGGATTTTAGTTAACTTAGCAGGCCCTTCAAAATAGCCAAAAAGTGTGTTTTAAGCGTCTTTCAATAATGTGGCTAAGTCCTTAACTACCCATAAAATATTGCATCCAAGGTTCAGCTCTAGAAAAAACATGATACCTCAGTGAATTTATGATTATTTCTTTGAATGTTTTAATAGGTGTGATATTAAAGAAACATCAGCTTAAAATCATGTTTCTGACAGTGTTTTTACCTACTATCAAACTTGTCATCTATTACTTGATGTATTTATTCACTTACCGAAAAAGCCAACACAGTAAAAATTGAGCGTTTGGAAGCATGATGTCAGTCATCTATTGTGTTCATAAGAGCATGGTTATTCTTTTTCAATTGCAGTTTAGAGGCAGACATTACAGGATACAGAAAAAGATTTGAAGCAGAACATGCACAGGAACTCTCAAAGCAGAATAGGTAGCAAACACATGGTGCTTTTATTTAATGTGGTTGTTGAAGAGAACGCTATCTGAATGGCATTGTTCCTTTTTTAAAATCAAGTGGTCTGTAGATTTTTACAGTTACCCATAGAAATAGGAGTTATCTCTTGTTTCTTGCAGTTTTCCACCAAAACACTTTAACATATGATATCTTATTCAATAGGCTAGACAAATGGCAGCTGTCCTTCTACGACGTCTTTTGTCTTCTGCTTTTGAAGAAGTTTATCCAGCTCTTTCACCTGATGATCAGACCTCTATCAAAAGTGGACTGCTGTTGATTATTCAGTTGGAAACACAGTCCAGTATGAGGAAGAAAATCTGTGACATTGTTGCTGAGTTGGCCAGGAACTTAATAGGTACTTTATATATGCTGATATCATGGCACAAAGTTTATGTATTGATATAATTGTATTTTTATCTCTTGCTCTCTAGTCTTGCGTAGACTTTTTTCATATACATGACCTGATGTCAGCTATCAGGGTATAAAATGAAATTTTGTATTTGCTTACATTATCCTTGGTAAGATAAGATTCTTTAACGCTGATTTTTAAATTGTTTGACTTTAAGTGAGATTGTATTAAAGTTCTAGAAATCCAATTTTATTTAATTTCTAGTAAAAGTTATGCTGAACGTCTGTGTCAGTTACTACTTTGAGTGCTGTTACGTGACAGTAAATAGTGGTCTTGTATTCATGATTAGTTCCTCAGTGCCTTTAGATTTACTCTTCTAAAATCTCAGGCGTATCTTACACTGTGACCTGGACCCATCTTCAGATTAGTTGCTTGGAAATTTAAGAAGTAGAGATGACTGGCTGCCCTGCATAATTAAGAACTAAACACCCTAAAGTCTGTTTATCCTAAAAACTTTGTTATATTTAATCTAGACGAAGATGGCAACAACCAGTGGCCAGAAGTTCTGAAATTCTTATTCGACTCCGTCAGCTCTCAGAATGTGGGACTACGTGAGGCAGCTCTACATATTTTCTGGTAAGCTTCCAGATTTTGCCATGTTTTCACAGGTTAGCCAAATCATATCTGTAAAAATGTAAGAAACACTGTCACAACTTACTTAGGTAATCATAATTTCATTTAATATGTTTTGTTGTGGTTTACTTGACTCCTACATGTGTGATTACTATCTCTAGCTAAAACAATGGATAAGTAAAAACTCATACCTTAACCTTAAGCTTATGTGAATTTATATTCATCTTTTGATCTTTCTTATCCTTAGGAATTTTCCTGGGATTTTTGGGAATCAGCAGCAACATTATTTGGAGGTCATTAAACGGATGTTGGTTCAGTGTATGCAAGATCAAGAGCATCCATCGGTAAGGCATTTATTTTCTTCTCTTTCTTTTCCCCTCTTGAGGAGAGGAACAGTGCAGTAGCCTCAAACATAAAGGTTGCACCATAAATACTAACCGGAGAATTGTCTGTTGCCTGGAACCTGAAACTGTTGTATAGCGGGGGGGGGGAATTTGGACTATGCCTACTGCAAAATAAAAGGGTCAAACCTCTTTGTGGTCCCAAGGCTATTTCCTGGCTCAGATCTGCACTGCTTAGGCCCAGCCTTCTCCCAAGCAGTCCTACTAGGAGAAACCTAGTTGTAGTGGTTCAAAGCAGAGCCAGGGGTTTAGCCAGCAGTGTGGGAGGACAGGAACTCCATGCTTAAGCTCACTTTCTGGCCCTCTCGTTTAACAGTATAGATATGTTCTGTATGTCTCAAAAGTCTGAATCTATGACAGCCCCTTGAACTACTGTGCACGCATACTTTACTGTGTAGACATGTTGTAAGCCTTGCTTTTCTGAAGGGTTTCTGGATCATTGCCTTGTGCAGAGAATTGTACTTTGAAAGTGTGTGTCTTGTTCTGGAGAATGCTGACCAAGAATGGGAAACCTGCTCTGGTATATGGGGTTCAGTTTGCTGCTCCTCCAGGGATTACCTTTTTTGACCTTTGAAAGTCAACTGAGTAACACTTTCAAAAGTACTGCATAGTCATGCTTTTAAAGAAGCACATTTTAAATACTTAGATCACACTTTTTGAAAAATGAGACTTTGCTACTTGCATACACATTTGAAATTGAAATGGGAAGCTAAGGACACAATAGCTTTTCCTTTGTAAAACTACATAATAAGAAGAATAATATGATAAATTTTTTTTTGTATCGTGGAGGGCATAGATAGAGAGGGCCTTCATTTCCACTTAACCTTAGTTTGAAGGAAGATATAAAAGCCCATGTTAAAAACTCTCACTATATCTATTAGGGAAACGTAAAAGGAAAAATCATAATCCAAAATATAGTTTCATAGAGGTCCTAATGTGAAAACAAATGAATGTTTCACTAGCAATTCTGTATACTTCTTTTTCTGTCCTGCCTTTCTTGTAGATCAAGACACTCTCTGCTAGAGCTGCAGCTGCATTTGTACTTGCTAATGAACACAATATTCCCCTTCTTAAACATTTTGCAGACTTGCTACCTGGAATCTTACAGGTAAGAAACTGCACAGGTAAGCCTTTATGTGTTATTGCCATCTGTATTGACTGTATCTGAGTTTACAGACCAGTAATTCATACTTCCATAGCATATGAATTTTTGCCAAGACCTGGGTTAACTATGTATTGGTTTGTCTAACCAGTCACCAGCAAGATATGGAAAGACTAATAAGGAATTTTGCAAACAAAAGCTAAGAATACATTGCTAATTGATAGGGTTTTCAGGAAGACAGTTCAGTGCTGATTAATTGCAGTGCAATTAAGTGCAGTGTTACGTAGATACATGAGTTAGGATTCTTTATAAGGTATTTAACTGAAAATCACATAGCTCTTTTAATTAACCACCACATTGAAATGTATTTTAAATATGGCCTAACCTGAGATTTTGTGCAGTTATCAGTAACTGGAAAAATCATTGGCCCATGCTATGCAGTATCTCTTTGGCTTCTTTAGAAGGAAGTGTAGATTTACTGTTTACAGAGATCCTCAGGGTGAGAACAACAGTCTGGACAAAATGATTTTGATTTCTTGATGAACTAGGTACTTTTTATGCTTTTATATGATCTCTGAGGCTGGATTAGATTCCTTTTAGGAGGGCTGGAGTGGGGAAGAAGTTGGAGTTTAATATAAGGTTGTTTACTTTCTTGGGAAGCCTATTGTAAACGAGACCAGAGGCAGAAATTACTTGAGTTCTGAAGGACTACTATTTCACAGTACAAGTTCTTTTCTCTATTAAGAAAAAGTGGAAACAGTTTGTTGAAGTACCTGTGAGAACAGCCGTAGTGAAATTTTTGGCAATTTTGAATTAGATAATATACTTTAG